TGGCAACGAGACGGTACATATGATGTCCAATACCGGCACTTCCATTGATGGTACCAATCATGCGGCCTCATCAGCGGTGATAGTTCTAAGGTAAATAGTGCGCCTAATTAAAAAAATTTAAAAATTTATTATTTTTATTTTTTATTAATTAATTTATTTATTAATTTTTTTTTTATTTATTAATTTATTTTTTTTTTTATTAATTAATTAATTTTTTTTTTATTTTTTATTAATTAATTAATTTTTTTTTTATTTTTTATTAATTAATTTATTTTTTTTAAATTTATTTATTTATTTTTTTTTTATTCTTTTGCAGAGATAATTCGGTGAACTCGCCACACTACAATTTAGCCCATACACATGGCATGTCGCCGATGGGCTACAATACAAAGAGTCCTATCACGGGTGTTGGCGGCAGCGGTGGTGTTGTTCCTGTTACCGGTCACAGCAACAATGTGGGCGGTGGTGGCGTTAATATGAGCTCCGGCATAAATGCTGGCTCATATGCCGCCTGTAACACACCGTACGGTTTAAAGACTGTCGAGGGTAGCAGTGGCGGTGTCATGAATTCAATTGGCAACAGCAACAATAGCATTCACTGTCCCTCATCTAGTTTAGCGAATGTCAGCGGAAACGCTGGCGGTAGTGGAGTTATTGGTATTCTGCCTGGTGAAGGACCACCGACGCCAACGCAAGAAATGGACCTTAATGTAGCGGCAATGGAACAGCAACAGCGTAAACGTATGTACTTACATAAATAAAACATTTATTAAATTCAATAATTATGATAGACAAACTCTAACATAACCTTAAAATTTATATACACACACACACACAGTGGAAAACACTTCATCCGCCTCGCTGAGCACACTGCAAAGTTGTGTAGCGTCGTCTGTACAAGCCGGCCGTTCACAGGGTCCAGAGATTTCACCGAAATTAGCAAAGTATTTTCGAGCTGATTTAATAACACATGTCACCAATTGGCAAGCTGATATTTTGGAGAAACAGGTAATGCAAGAGGTGCAGTAGTTTTACAAATTACACACAATTTACATTGCATTCACGCAAAAAATTTCGCAATCTACTGTTTTATAGGCGCAAAAGTGTTCCGAAGAAACGCATTTGTATGGGGATTTACAGTGTACGAAAGTGTCGGCAGAGTTAAAATGTGCTAGAAGCTTAGTTAGAATAACTGAAATCACGGCAACTCTACAAGAACAAAAGTAAGTTGGAAATTTTCCCTTGTTTAACTATTATTTATTTCTATGTAGTGCATTGTTTTATAAAATTGGGCACGCCGGCGTAACATCTCTGTGTTGTTGTGGTTGATGTGAACAGGCTTAGACGCAAATATCTTACCGCTAGAAAGCAGTTATACTGGATATACATAATTATTGTTTGCTGAAACAAACTGCGTGACACTTTGCTTATGTCCGCTATTGTCAGAACAAAATATAACGGATTGGCATTTTAGAAACAATACCAATTATAGGGATTAATATGGCAGGCAGGCAGGCAAGAACTATTGAATCTTAAAAAAGTGGATTCAGTGACAGTTTGCGAAAGCGAGCAGCAGTCTTGCTCACTGCTCACTACTATTTTCAACTGTGAGTAGTACCCGTGTTGACTTTTAAATATCCCCAAAGATTATTTCGTATATAATTAAGGTTTCTGCATATTTCGCTATGGTGAAGTCTGTGAAATAAGTCCACTGTACAGCCACAAGGGGCTAGCTGTTGTAGAAGACGTACCTGTGCTGCCACAGTTTAAATCATAATAAGCAGAAACATTTATATAAAGATGGTATGCAGAGGATGGGTTAAACTGCTAACGGAGAAATGCTATTAAACTAAGATTATTTGAAAAAAGTTGCGCTCGAGTTGCTTGATATAATGTCTTTGTTTGTTACTCTATATTTTCTTTGCTATCATACATTTAAAATTCTGTCGACGTATGTTTATTAGGGTGTCCGTATTTCCCAAGTTGATGTTTTTTTTTGCAAACGCCACCTTAAGTTTCAGTTTTTGCGCATATAGAGGGTCTCATGCAAGCCAGTTCATTATTTTCAATTTAAACCGTGCCAAACTCATTTTATATGCATATATTATATGCAATAAAGTTTTATCTCCAAAGCAAATAAATCCACAACTTTGAAAAAGTGATATTCTAATACAAAAGTTTCCATTTTACAAAAAAGGTCCTTTAAAAGTTAGACGCAGTTAAAGTTATACATCAAATGTACTGTATACATACCGTACACCATGTCGTATGAGCAACACATAATGTATGGTATCACTTGCATATGAATGCTTAGTATATTTTATGTATAGCTATGACTGCATATAATTTTTAAAAGCATGTTTTTATGGAAAAAATTAATAAAATATTTTTTGTGGAGCAGAAAATTTTGTGCTAGAACATACCATAAAATTCCATGTTACATATGTGTATAGCACAAATGGGGGGAAAAAGATTTAGGCACGATTTAAATTGAAAATAAAGAGCTTGTTTATTACAGTGGAGTCTCTTTATTAGAGCAAAAACTGAAGATAAGGAATAAAGGACACCCTAATGTATATATGAAAGACTCTATATGGCTATAAGAATAGCTAGCTTAGAAGAGACTGTATAACATTTAGAGTAATATTTGATATTTGATTTGATACTACTATACTATACTGAGCTGAACTATTTTACCAATTTTCGCTTTTATTTTTATTCTATTAATTATGTATATATATCTTCTATTACAGAATTATGTATCTTCGCCAACAAATTCGTCGAATAGAAGAATCAAAATCACAAAATTCATTTATGTCTGATGATCTTTAGCCAATATCAAATTTGTATTAAAAGAGGAATTATTACTAAAAATTCATATATAACCACATTCATAAGCGAAAATTCTCACCAAAAATCGCCTACACACCCCAATCAAAGTATACAAATAAAAATAGAAAAACACATAACAATAGCAATTGGCAACACTACACTAATATTTACAACAACTAGTAGTGGAACGATAGTGAGTGTAGACGGCAGGCAAAATAACCAGCGTTCAAAGTAGCAGCAGCAGCAGTAACAGCTGACAAAGTGAGAATCAAGCGTGCGGTTAACAAAATTGGAAACAGCTTAGTATAAATAAAAAGGAATACAATTAAAATACTTTAAAGTAAAGGCAACAACAAACAAGGATGCAAACAAGATAAAATGAAAATCATAAAAACACATAAATAAAGCAAGTAATACAACAGGAAAAACTCTACACAAAAAGTAATGAATAATTATAGTAATATTATGACTAGTAATTATAACTATAAATTTAATGATAAATAAAAAAAAAATAGATATAACAAAATGAGTGTGCAAGCCCATTTAAATCAAACCTACCACACAGTTCGCTAAGGATATAGGAGTCAAAGATCGAATTATATTTCTCCATGCTAATTAAGCATTCGAAGCCCATATAGCTTTCAGCTGAACGTCACGGCGTTGGCTTTGTATGAATTTCATTGCGTAAGGAATTTCATAATAAGTGCCACACGCATAGGGACATATTTGAGCAACAGTGGTGACTCAAGTGACCACCAAAATATGCGTTGGTTAGTGGCGTAAATTTGAAATCTAAGCAGGTCTTTGCTTGTATATCAACAAAAAATCATTATAACATCAAGAAATGCCTTTTATACTTCATTAGCATACAATTGTTTTTTGTTTGCAGTTTACAGCTAAGCAGTTTTGCTACCTTCTAATTTATTATAAATAATAATTTCAAGTTAAATACTAGTTTAATATAATATACATATATTCTGTTATAATGAATTTTTTTTTTTGCAAACATATGCAATATACTTTACACACATACACATAATACTACATACAATAATATACAAACAGTTAACGTTGCAGGAGTAGAAGAAATCCCCGAAGCAAATATTACTTTTTTAATTTACGATAATATTTTAGTTCTTTTTACTTTATTAACATTTAATGAATATTATAGATTTTACGTGATTGTGTAGATATATGTAAGCATATGCTATATTCAATATACTTATATAAATTGATAAAATTATATATATATATAACAAAAAGAAAAAGAAACTGCAAAAAATAATCAAAATTAAATGTATTTTAATTTATTTGCGTTTTATTTGATTAATTTAAAGTTATTATTATTTTTTTAAGCAGTGCCACTTATTATTTCTACAGTGCATATAATGGCGAACATACTTTTTTAAAGCAACAACAAAATGTAAACCTGCTAAGGCATTCAAATAAAGAACTGTCTTTATTAAATAATGGAAAATCTATTAATTATATAATTCAGAAGCGTCCTGTACGCAACCTTTTTATTATTGAAGGTTTCCGGTTTAAGTTTGTAAATTGCTGATGCTGGTGCAATTCAGTATAAAGTGAGTAGTGTTGTTTTTGTAGTGGCAGTAGATAAAATACACAAATGCTGACGATTTCAGCGTCCTTGGCCGCATAAAAACTCACTTGAGGGTACATATACCTGACTGGTGGCATATAAACATAAATATATATTTATACATATTCATGAAGAATTTATCAGCTCAGTTTATCAGCAGTATCTTATCTAACAATGATCGGCAAATAATGCTGATAACGCAGCATAAAATTATACACGTACACTACATAGAAGCACAGCACCTTACTTGACAAGGTAATGATTACTAATTATTAATATCAACAAAGCATCCAACAGAAGGGTGCATGCACGTTTGTAGCAACCAAAAGTAAGTAAACTAAGTCTTTATATAACCAGAAGTCACATTCTTCTTTAATTGCAGTTGTAACAATAATACCAAAATTCAATTGTTTTATTTTAAATTCTCCGAACTACCCAACCATTATGTATTTATTTTCCTTACTGATAAAGCAGTTTTGTCAACAATTTGGTTTGTGTCTTGGCTAAAATAACAAAATGTAACTACACAAACAATATCCGCTGATTTGACAGCTCGCCATTTTGACTGCAGTTTACCGTTTGAGAAATAAAAACTCGCACTGCAATTCGTTGCTCCGCATTAAAACTGTGAAAATATAATAATTTGTGTATTTTTATTGATTTTATTGCGTAGAAAGTGCTTGGCGAATATCAAAAATTCTATTTTTGTGAAGATAACTGCTTAGTTGCTGCATTGAAGTACTGGTACGGGTGCCTTTATTTGTTGCCGTGTTCTTATAAGCGTTTACAAGTTAATATTTTGTCAGGTTTTAACAGTGGTATATTTTTATGCAAAGCTTGAATTCACAACTTAGGACGTTAAATTCCTCTGTATTACGCTGATTAGTGAAATTCAAGCGAAACAAGTCAGAAATAGTGAAAATATAAATGTGCACAGCTGTTCTGTGTTTATGTGTATTTTTTTTTCTTGTAGATCGTTTCCTTAAAAATAAATATTTGATTTGTTAAATATGTTTGTTAAGCGGAAAAGTTATTTGATTTTTAAACTAATAACAAAGTATATTTTTTAAAATTAATCTTTGAAGCATAGTTTTTTTATACATGAATTCGTACATATGCACTATTCAGTTGTCTCATATGTAAGCCCTCCTCCAAGCTTGCAAAATATTTTAGTAAAGACAGGATGGAAATGTAATATTAATTATAATAAAAAATTAAATAAATAGCTGATATTAAATATAAATATGTGTTTACGGTAAAAAATCTATAATAGTGCCAAATAAATGTGGATCAATATTAAAAAAAAGTATAACCAAAAAGTGATATGTTAATAAAAATACCAAAAATATAGATTTTTTATTTGCCTAATATTAATATAATATAATGAAAATATTTATTCACAAAAAAAAAAATTATTGAATATTAAAAAAAAAATTAAAAAAAAAGTGATATGTTACTAAAAATAGCGGTAATATAGCTTTTTTGTAATGTAATGAAAACTATGAATTCACATCAATTTGTGCCTTAATAGTTTGATTTCGCATCTAGCTATACAGAGGATAATAATTTCGCGATTTTACAGACGTGGCAAACTTAATATATATTAAACAAATATGTTTTAAATACTCGCGTATTGTTACAACATTATAAATATTAGTTATAAAATTAACAAAACAAAAAAATGTGAACGTACATCTTAGATTCTAATGTCAACAAAAAACTTATATTGTTTTGAAATTTTGAAAATGCACACATCTAAAATTCTTTGTTGATCACAAAAAAAAACCAAAAAAAAAAAAATTTGCAATGACTTGCACAGAAATTATACGTAAACTTAAGTGTAAAACTCCGCCTTGCCCCTGCCAGAAATGCGCCAAGCTACGTAGTGAGAACGGAAATGGAAACGTCAATGCTGAAAATAATCTGCGAGATACGCCGCCAGAGCGGCCAATACCAAAATATCAGTTTCAATGTAAATGCCTTTGTGATACGGAAGTGCCCTATAAACGCAAATGTCCACCGTCTCCGCCGCAGCGTAAGCAAACGGTTAAATCCAATGAAAAGTGTGTAGAAGATGATTGTAATACAGGGAAAGGTTGTTGTAATACGGGACGCAACTTTTTGTCCTTTATGATAAGCATAATTGGCTTTATAGCGTAAGTGCAGACACACATACATGCTTAAGCAGCGTATACAGTTGATCCTTTACAGGTTTTTAATAATAGCCGCCGTCGTGTTTTGGCTTTTGGTATTGAAATGTGCAATTATCTTGTCCATCAAAGTATATAAATCGAATAGGTATGCATTTGTTGTGGGTATTTCTGTGAGATGATTTTGATTACTCTTTTCTATCATGAGTGTAGAACTACGCAAGTCACAGTTGTGAGCATAATTGGTGTATTGTTTCTGCTAATACTTTGTACGGCTGCGATGACATGTTTTCAAAGATATTCGGCTAGATGTTCGACCAGCAAACTCGCAGCGCAACCTGTCACTAAAATAAAGTCGGAAACCACTGGCAGTTGGTATACATTTAAAAAGAGTCAACGGAAAGAAATTGCGCCGCCACCCAAAGTGACTAAGACCCGTTACTCTTGGACGCTTCGTTCCGCTACGCCGAGCACAGCGAAAGAAGTAACTTCCACAGTGAGCAAAGTTGAAACACGTTCTTCGTGGTTACCTTTTGGTAGAGGACGTCAGCTAACAATGAAGGAAATCAAAACAGAGTCTAATGAACCACGTTCGTCGTGGGTAAAAACATATATTTGGCGAGAGACAACAACGAAAGATATTGTTACTCCTATTAAGAAGCCTGAAGCATCTTCTTCCTGGTTACCATCATTTAGATGGAGTTCGGCTTCATCTAAACAAATAGAACAACAAACTAAAACAACGGAGACACGCACCTCGTGGATGCCTTCGCGATGGTGGGGCCAGTCTCCGTCAAAAGGAACTGATTCTCAAATGAAAAAGTCTGAAACGCCCACTTCTTGGGGATCTACATTTAGATGGAGTGCAAAACAAACTGAAAAACCACCTAAAAAGATTGAGAGCCGTTCCTCTTGGATGCCTACTAGTTGGTGGGGTCAGACGCCAACAAAAGAAATTGATTATCAACTGAAGAAGTCTGATACCCCTACTTCTTGGATGTCTACATTTAAATGGAGTCAAAAACAGCCTGAGCTACCACCTAAAAAGATTGAGAGACGTTCCTCCTGGATGCCTTCTAATTGGTGGAGCCAGCCGCCAACAAAAGAAATTGATTATCAACTGAAGAAGTCTGATACCCCTACTACTTGGATGTCTACTTTTAAATGGAGTACAACTTCATCGAAACAAATTGAGACTCCACCCAAAAAGACAGAGGCACGTACATCCTGGATGCCATTTCAATGGTATAGTTCGACTATACCCAAAGTAATTAAACGAAACGAAACGTCTGTGACGCGTTACACTTGGTTACCATCCTTTAAGTGGAGACAGTCACCAAGCAAAATTGAAACTACAACTACAAAAACTGAAGTGCGCTCTTCATGGTTACCTTCTTTTAATATGCGCTCTATATGGACAACTTACTTTACTAAATCAACAATAACAAAAGAAATTCAAACTCCACCACCAACAACTAAAGCACGTTTCTCCTGGATGCCTTCTTTTTGGTGGAGTCACAAACCTGCAAAAGATATTGAAATTGAATTGACACAAAGAGAGCATGAGTCACGTTCATCTTGGTTACCCTACTTTAATTGGCGACGGACGACGACAACCAAACGGACAACAACAAATAAGAACTCGAAAAAGACTACTACGACTTCTTACTGGTGGCCCAGCTTTACTTGGGGTCAGTCAGCGATCACAACAACAAATAACAGACTGTCCGGTGGAATGCAACAACAGAAGGTTACTGTCACCATAACTGACGATGAGGCACGCCAAATATTTAAGCGGTCCAAGTTGTACGCGATACCAACAGAAATGAAACAGCCGCCAACTTTGATTATCTATTTACGAGATTTTATTCGAGGAAATTCGGACTAAAGATTTACCATAAAATGGTAATTGTAATAGTTCAAAAGTTAAGTTGAAAAAAATGTGTGCAAACAGAAAAATTATTGAGTAATCATTATAAATTATTGTATTGTCAAACATTATTTTAAAGGAAATATTAATTCGATAAAAAAAAGGTCTTTATTGTTTTGAGTGAGAGTAAGACTGGCTTAGGAGGATTTAAATATAATATAAAAAACATGATCAAAGAGATTAATAAAAAAAAATCCGAGGCAAATGAACATTATACGATCTCAAGCAACATTGCATTTGTATAGAAAGCTTTACCTAGATAGAGCATTAAAAATCGCACATAACTCAAGTCCTCCAATATCCGGACACATATGCTTGTTTGGAGCTCTCCGACCGTTCCTCTGGATGCTTGATCATAGCGGAATGTCTTAGCAGACTGGTAGTGCGTTGAAGTTCCGTGGTTCTCTTGCAGTTGTTTTGTCAAAATTCCGTTCGCATGTGAGTTTAGAAAAGGTGAGACAATCGCCTTCTGGCCCGGTCTGATACCTAATAAGTTATCCAGAAGACTTCGAATCTCAGCGCTTCTACTGTTCCGAGATTGTGAGGTCAAGGTTAGAACACCTTGTGTTTTACATTATGGGCTTAGCCATCTGTTTCCGAAATCAATTGTGTTAGGTAATTTTCAGGAGTTTTTGAAATAAAATATACGCTTTATTTGCCTAAATGTGATCTGCTGACCTGTATTCAACCACAAAACTTACTATAACCCTAACCTGCATAACAGAAAAACAGTTACCTTCAGAGTTAGGGTGGACTAATAAAAACCGCCGATTGCTGTTAGAGATCCTGCTGGTTTACATATTTTCTACTTTATATGAGTATTGGTAACGATGGAAAACTGAAGCCGGGAGTCGGATTGTGGAAAATTTGATTCTAGAATATAAATGTAAATGTTTGCGTTTGAATATCGCTTACAAATTATGTGGTCGCATGCATGACTCTACGATATCATCCAGTCATGTGATTTGAGAACAGTTTATCTTACATATTTTAAGTTTTCGAATTTTTTTTGAAGATCTGCGCTACACGATTAGCCGTTGTTTCATTATTAAATCTGTATTCTCAAGCTTCTGTCGCCTGAATCTAAAGAATTAGATTCATAGAGTATTATTTCGTCATTTTATCGCATATCGTAGAAGAATCGTGGTTCCAGTACATAAAGTCCATATTGTTTAAATGTAAATAGACTTAGGCCGATTTTGTGTTAAAACTTATAAAACAATATTTAGTTCTACTAAAGTCGCATACTTTCTCTCATTAAGAGTACACAGCAAAATTACTATTCAATAAATACACATAAATATTTACAAATTAGACAAATATACACAGTTACAAGCTATATAGTTAGTTCATGAGTCCGGACCGCCATCAAATGTAATCAATCATCGCTGTAATTATTTCGAAGGCATCACGTGCGGTTGGCTCTATGGAGGCGCTGGGCAGCAGATAGCCATGCACACCATTGTCAGCTAACTGTATCGTGAAGCTGAAGGGTATACCAACTTCATAAGCCGCGAATGCGTCAGAGCAACCTGTTTGAAAAGAGTAAAAGTCAGAGCGAATTGGATGAAGTAATACAAAAACGCTTCCTGCTGACACAAATGTTTATCTATATACATATGTATGTATGTATGTATATATATAATATACATATATAACATACATTCTATACAAATATGTATATCGCTGCTCACCTGAGCGATTTTCTACCAGATCACTTGTCGAGTCAATCTTGTAGCGTGATTTGCTGCCTTGCTTACGCAATCCATCCGTTCCCACCATAGCCACATCGAGAAAGTCATCGATGCGTTCGGCGTTAAATGAAGTGTTCGCTTTCATTGGATATGAAATAATCTGACCATAGGCTTGTAATGAAATGTACATCTAAAGCAAAGTAAAGAGTGCAGGCGAATAAAGAAGCCCTCTAAAATAATATAATATATCCGTGCTCACCTTAATTTGTTTACGATAATCTATTAGAAAATCCGATAGCGCTTTCGATTCGGGCTCGGAGAAGGGTCCTGGCCCAGCATACAATTCATTACATGCTGATTTTGAGCTACCCCGCTTACCCCACTGGTAGTGCCAATTACGATCCAAGTCCACACCATAGCAAACCCGTGTTGCTACCTTCTTTTGCTGCAGCCAAGTCATTGCTGAGTCGATGATACCATTACGACGTGAGATATGTCGAGAACGAGTTTTCCGCCAGAAGCGATCATATTTATGACTATACACATAACCATCAGGATTGAGTATGGGCATAAAGTACCAGGTGGTATTTTTTATGTACTCGTTATCAACGGTTGTCTCTAAAAGTTAATGGAAAGTGTGTTATATTCGTTTAAAATTATTAAAATCAATAGGAGAAATTAATCGATCCTATATGTCGTGGGGTCTTGAAAGTATAAATCTAATCTATGTGTTACAACAAACATATGATTAGGGAATGACGGAACTTTAACTACGGTTATGACTGATAGACGATATTTTCTATTTCTCTCACACATCTACCAAACAAACCATAGGATTGGAAACGGTATTCGAAAAAAACGAGTCGGATATGTTTGAGTACGAAGTGCTTAGATTTTTGACAAACTAGATTGGAACAAAAATTATACTAAACACGATGCGCCTCGCAGATGGTTTCAAGGCCGTAAAATAATGAAAAATATATATCTGTTGATTGACGTCCAAAGAGCTAAGTTATATAGAAAATTATTCTTTGACCTTCGAAATGGGCACAACATTGAAACACCCAGAGAATGAATACACAATTGAAGACAAGGCGATGGATATACTCAGGAAGATGTTGGTGAAGATGCCCAAATAGATGATCTATTACTGGCGAGCTATTTGAAGAGCCTTTTGGCCCAGAAAATATACATTTGATTAGATATTAGCTACAAGACTGCAAGTCTTAGCTCATATATTAAAAGAATGGATTGTCAATTGTCACCATCTAGTTCTTGTCTTTAAAGCCGTTTTCGTCATGACCTGGAGCAACATCAGTCAGAATAGAAATTTAACGCTTTACTGCTCTGAGTATTAATCCCTTTTAAATGAGGTTTTAGAGAGGTCAAATTTAAGGTCTTTTATTAAAGCTTATGAACCAGGAAAAGAAGAAATAGCTCCAGTTATTGAATAAATACTCTGCTTGCCACTTCACTGTCGACAGTAAAAATTGCGATGTTGTAAATAATTTTATATATTTCAAGACTCTGCATAAGTACCGAAGAGGAAGATTCTGTGAAAGATGTGTAAACTCAGATTTTATTTTTGACGTTTGAGTAAAGTTATAGGCGGATATTGTCTTATCAAGTTATAGCTTTTCGGTCAGCATTACTCTCTGTTAATAGTTTACTCTACATACAACCCTATTGTGTTTTACATATTGCCATCGCCCCCTTTTCAATATTTTATTGTATACCTTTGTAAAGTGTAGCAAGCCTCCTCTGATCTCTATGTCAGATTATTTTTCAATCAAATTCATCTTGGAATTCGCCTAAAATGCAATAAAATCAAAATTAACAGTAATGTTTAGCGGAAGCTCTGCAATGACTTATGCAAATAGACGGGAACAGAAATGCAAATTTCAAGCGTGTCCATGTGAGAAGTGTGTGTGTTTTCGTGAGGAGCGTTTAGCCAGCGGTGGTTACAATGAACTGCCCGACACGCCGCCTGAACGGCCTTCACTCAAATATGCACAAGATGCTGACAGCAACTGTGCCTGCCAACCATACAACATTGGTCCGAAGTATAAACGAAAATTTCAGCCGATTCGGCAGCAGCGCAAGCAGGACACCGATGAAGTCAAGAAATGTTGTAGCTCAAAAGCAGAAGTTTGTGATAGTGGCAAAGGTTGTTGCAACACAAATGGCAACTTTATGTGTTACTTGATCAACGTAATTAGTTTCATAGCGTATGTTATGATAAATATTGTATTTCGAATATCAAGCTAACTTTTTCTTCACTCTTCGCAGCTTCACAATTATAGCTCTTCTACTGTTTTGGCTGAAAATGTGCGAATGGACGTATGCTTTATGCGTGAAAACTTATCATTCGAATAGGTCTGTATTTAGCCATATGTTATAGTGGCTTACGTCGACTTTAGCTGAGGTGGGAATTTTTATTTATGGGCGAAGTTGAACGGATACGATGTTTAATCTTTTCTTATTTTAAAACTACCACTTCCTTAACATCATTTGATATGAGATCCAACATCAGGTTTCGAAAAAGTTGGTTCGATTTAGTGAATATGTCGCCATTAACTTAAGTCGACTTACGCTATTCTGATATATTGCCGCAAATTTGTTTCTATCGTCAAATCTTGATTTTAAGTAATGTTATTTTTTTCCCCATTTAAGGAAAACACAACTCATTGTTATTATTATAACTAGTTTTATGCTTATAACTATGATTTTCACCTATTTAATGACTGGTACCCCATATCAGAAACATATTACTCCATGCAAGGGATCGCATTGTGTTACCGAAACTAAAGAGTTTACCGTGACTATAACTGATGACAAGGCACATGAAATATACAAACAATCCAAATTATATGCCATACCACTCGAAATGAAACAGCCGCCCACATTGCTTCTCTATTTACGCAGTCTTATTCTAAAAGATGAATGAATTTACAGCAAAAATTAAACGAATACTAAATTTGTAAAAAATGTCTGTATTTACTGTTCAATTTAAGCATACCTAGGTGGGCAAAATTCGGAAAATCCAATCAGATACCTATTTTAGATATAGTCATTATAGTATAACTTGAACAAGGTTTTCTATACCACCTCTAACACAATTTATTTTAGATGTCTTTCCAAAGCAATTGAAATTTCGAAATTTATAAAAAATCAAAATTTTCGAAATTATAACCTGAGGTTTAAACGATGTAAATAGTTTTAGACATCTTTATTTGGAATTCCAGTGTCTCATACCGTCGTGCCCCCAAAAGTTTCAAGCGTTGCCTTGTCAATGCGGGACAAATACCTAAGCGATACTCCATTGTCACCTTGGTGCTTTGTTTTTGACATTTCTTGAAGTCTTCTCAATCGGTCAGACGTATTCTGCAGGCGTGTGCCTCCACTAGACTGTGACAAGTGAGTATTATAATTCTTTTCTTGCAGTCCCTTCTACCGAGTACCACTTTGTGTATTTCTGATCTACAGCTTTACACATAACTTTTGCAGTTTGGCAACCTGATAGTTCGTTCCATAGCGTTTTCACCTTTCTTGCTATGCTTCTGTCCAGATTTATAGTATGGTATACACAATACATGGCTTTACCAATGTAGGTCAAGTTTTCGGATGACCGCTGTAGACCACATCTGGAAAACTCGTCCACTTTCTCATTGCTCTCGATGCCTTTGTGAGCCAGTGCATCCTCGACTGCTGCTATGCTTCCTAAGACACTTATGGCCGATATGCGAAACGAAGTTATTGCCTTGATTGCTGCTTGGCTGTCCATGTAAAGGTTACCTCTGGAGTTGCCTGCTAATGTACCATATTAGAGGCCAACTCCGCGGCTTTTTTAATAGCAAAAACCACTGTTTTGAAGTATACTGTGTTATGCCTAACTCCAGACAGTATATCCCCGCACCAACTCCGTCCGCCATTTTCGAGCCATCCGCACAAATGTCTAATGTTTTGCGCGTAGCTACCATCCCTTACGTCATTCCAAAGGATGACTAACACTTCATCTGTTATCGCTTAGGACCAAAACTAGTCTATGCGTGGTCTATGAACCTAGCAGACTAACCTAACCTAAATCATATTTGAAAATTAGACCCTACTGTGTGCAAGGTAAAATCAAGTTATAGCACACCTTTGGTTATTAAGAATATTAAGGTAGTGTTTCTGGATGTTTTTCTAGCAGCATTGATAATAAAGATAAAAATACGTCATAATTGAGTTATATCCATTTGAGACCATTCGAAAATGTGGCGTTATTTCCTGTAATCACGATTTTTTAAACATACACTGAAGAGTTCAGGCTTCAAAGCTTTCGTAACCTCAACTCTTTGGTGTGAACTACTTAAAGGTTCGCTAAGAGCCGTAAACTAAAATACTATAAGGGCTGGTTATCTTACGTTGTACCTCGGTTTCAAAATCAAAACCTTAATTGATAGCAGTTCTCACCATACAAATACGACGATTGTGACTGATGAGAAGACGAACTGAGCAGTGTAGGAGCGTGAATACCTTCGAAGACAGTCGAGTCTAAAGCTGACTAAAAACTATTACTATAACCGAATTTTACAAATAACAATTTCAAAAAGTCGATTAAAAAATAATGGCACCAATTCATTATTGAGGTAGAAACAGTAAAATTAAGACAAACGAGCGATTGAGGCACAAAGGAACCTTAGATATTGAGTCAGTATCGATATTTTAGAAGATGGTATTTGATTATATTAGCCTCATACTCTTTTCAAAAGCGTAAAAAATATTTTTTGCCGCACTTATAACGCAAACTTATCTTCAAAACAGTGTCACATTAAAATTGAACTTAAATTTAATTGCCGTTTCTAATTTTTTCAATACCTACAATGTTTAATTAATTTTATATTATATTATAAACTCACTGTTACTCTTGATCAATCGCAATAGTTCACTGATCATCCAGAGCGATGTGGCCGGTCCGATCCATTCTAGGCCATGTGTGCCCGACTCAATGAACACTGAGTTCGCCTCTTTTGGTTGTTTCTTACTCTTTAACTTTTTGTGTGCCACTTCCGTTTGACTAGCTACACTAGCGGCATGCTCTTTGGACTCGATCTTCACTATGACCAACGGTCGTCCCTCATATGAGCGCCCAATATGTATTAACTCGACTAGTTGTGGATGGCGCATGCGTAATATTTCCAAATGTGTGATAATATCATCGTATTCATAGTATTTATGCCATGACATAGTCATTGCTTGCTGCTTCTGTTGATTCTTATTGTTTTTAAACGGGCGCATAGCGGCATTGAAGTGAAACTGCTCTTGCGCTTGCTCATAAACGATCGCCTTGCCGACATCGTAAATAAGCACTTCATGCGCGATCGATTCGAAACTGAGACTAGCCTCGAAGTCGATCAATTGTTTCGGTGGCACCAGTACGTCTGTTAGACCGCTGTTCGCCGAGAGTGTGGAGGTGTAATGAAAGGTTAGTTTCTAATCAATAAATAATCAAGATTTTATATACTCACCGCAAGCTGGGGCCCTTCAACCACTGCAGTTTTATACCGTCTTCACTTTGCTTGTACTCTTCCAACACATGCACTTGTGTATCGTCCAACGGCTTCAAGCGCCATATTTGATATCGATCATAATCTATCATGCGCGGCACATCTGGATTAACAGTGGCTTGAGTGATCGCATTCATAATCGGATTTTGTGTAACTGCCGTTGCGGTGGAATTTATGATGTGATGTGCTAAAATGCCAATCCAATTTTGTGGATTTTTCAGCGGATCGACGATCGTCAAAATCGGCACTTGTGCATCGGGTGTGCGTACTGTGGTCGTAGTTGTGGTAGTCATCTTGCGTCGACGCTTGGGTCTCGTATCAAACCAACCGAAGAACCATTCTGAAACGAAAGAGAAACTCGTGTCAAGTGAGGGGCGAAGTGTACTTGTATGTGTGGGTTTGTATGTAGCAAGAAAGCGTAACATTGATGCAGATTTAATGGCAGCAGTTAAGATAATTATATAGGGTTATACAAATGTACATACAAACTAGTGCTGGTCTAAAGAAAGAATTTGAGTGTAATTTGTATATTTCGTTTTGTTTTGATTCAAATTTTTGCGTTTTTTGTTTATATACTTGTATGTAAATCGGTGCGCTTAAGGCGGGTTGGCTGAACTATTTAATTGCCGTAAAAGTGAGTTGCGATCTTCTGCGACCCCTGCCTTGTAATTAGTAAAGAAAATTTAGTTCTGCTTCAGTGGAAAGTAAGTTTTTGTAAGATATCATGATGGATGTCTCATGTTTAGAAAAAAGCCTCTCTTGAATTTAATGAAATTTTTGCACATTTATGAAAATAAACGGTAATAGGATTTACCAAGCCCTTCAGACCTATAGAATCACAATCTAACTTAGAGGTAATATAGTATACTTTTAGCTCATGAACAACCTTGAATAATGAAAACTCTGAGTAAATTTGGGTCTTTCGAAGATGAGACAAATTTGAAATCGCTCAATATTTGCTCAATTGAGAAAAATGGAAATGAAATAGTTCTGGTTTTATTAGAGTCTTCAAATCAATGATGCTTGCAGCTCTCAGTGATAGATAAATATATACATATCTCTTATGACGTCTGTTATGATCAGAAATAAGATTAAAGAGGGAAGTTTATATTGAGTAGAATGAAGTTAGAACCATATCGATTTATTTTAAAGTAAAAGTTTTCGACTAAAAATTTCGTTGCAAACAAAATAAGCCTAATTTTTTTACATATTTTTCAATCAAATTTGCTTAGTATTATGGATAAATTGGTTTCTTCGTACTTTTACCGCTGAACATAGGTTAAGTTAGGTTAGGTTGGGTTCTATGGCTGTATGGCTGAATGTGATCATCTCCACTTGAACTGTTTAAGATAGTCCTTTTAGAAGACAGAAAAACTTCTGTAGTTGGCTGTTACTTATGTCTCAACAAACCGTTTTGAAGCTAACAAAAATATGCTTAAGCGATTCATTTATATATCCGTAAATTCACCTGAATATTTAGCCTTAATCCGACAAAAGCGAGATATTCAAGAATGCAGTGTTGTGATGATTCTGCCCAGTCTTATTTTAAGCAACTTCTAGCTGATCGGGCAGTGGTCAGTAGATGAGTTCGAACAGCTTACTGGATCTTTAACGATTTACCTTCGATCAAAAGGATTTTGCAACTACATAAAGCTACTAGACCAGCGGTTACCAAAGTCACTTAAGGGCCAACCATCCAGTAGTAAACCGCAATTAAACAGCGGTCCTCCTACTTGTTCCTATTCTACAGTTAGTGCGCCTGAGCCTAGTCTCGAGTGCACGATTAACGATCTCAATTAGTATCAACACCCTACTAATGGAGTGGAAAGTCACTTCTTTGAAATCACCATTCTTTCCACTACCGACACCTTCCCACCATACCTACCTCGAGGGTATAAGAGCAGAGAAAGTACACTTCCTTAATTGTCGAGATATTATTTTTGCCGGAATTCAAAATTTATAATTTTGCATTGTAACTACTTCATTTAATTAACTAAAGTGTCCGCATTTGCAAATACAATGTCAAAATGTTAACAGTGAGTTTATTACCGGAAGTTGAGAGATTATTGCTATTATCGACTTAACGAGCGAGTTTTTTTTAGCGAAAAAGAAACGAAACAAAAAGTAAAATTAGGTACAAATAACTTTCCTAGTCATCCGATGGACTTGCCAATGAACTTCACCGTTTCACACAAAGTGAAAAATTTCTCACAATTAAATTGTCAACCATCCAAGTGAAGAGAGTAATCAAAACACACTTTGACCACCGCAATTATGTTTCATTTGTTTGACATAAATGTTCATGTAATAAAACACTCGCACACTTAGCTAGCAATTTTCACTTACTGTCATCATTTTCACCTGTCTCCTCAGGCTTTGGTTTGCTGCCGAAATTGAACCACGACTCAAACCAACTGGGTGGCTCACTAGGTGTCGGCGGTGGTGGTGGTGGTAGTGGTGTTGTGCTACCAATATTCTTCCTACGTCTGTTGAAACTGAACCATGAACTTAACCAACTGGTCAAGGAGTTTGTATGTTCCTCCTCTTCTTCCTCATCACTCTCAATCCGCTGTATACCATTGTGATAAGTGGTATAAGTCGGATATAAGTATTGTTCCTCTTCAGACTCTTTACTGCCGAAATTATCGGCAACACCGTTCATAAATACTTGCACTGGATAGAAGATCATACGAAAAAAACCGCCAATACCACCACCAACGCCAGCCTCGTCATCATCCTCGTAATCCTCGTAGGATGTTGATGCATCACTATACGATGGACGTCTGCGTATGCGTTTCTTGGTAACGGACTTAGTATGCGAAACTGGTTTCATTGTAGTTGTTGTGGACGAACTGTACATAACAGTTTCCTCTGAACTCATTGCACCAAAATCGGCGTTGGGCTCCGCTGAACTGCCATCATCAATTACAATAGAGTTTTTGTTTACATCTGTTGTCTGCTCTGCTGTTTCTTCTGTGTAGTCTTCGGTCAGCTCCAAACTGGCAGAATTGCTGTCTTCTTTATGTTGTTGTTTATGATTGCCGCGTTTTCGTTTCTTATTAGTTTGCGCATAGTCGTAGTAAGATTCTTCATCCTCCTCATACGAGTCATCTTCACTATCGTCCTCGTCGTCGTTACGATGAGATATTTTTCCAGCATCATCATCTTCTTCATCGTCCTCATCATCATCTTCGTCGGGGTCAAAGTCGAAGAGATCGAATTCACCTCTTTTTTCCATTCTATCCTTCTTTTTCTTTCTTCTATGTTTGGTTTTCTTCTTCCTAGCTTTACTATGTGTAGTTGTGGTCAGTGTTAATGTTGGTAATTCTGTTGTAGCATTGTGGCTGAGTGTTTGATTTGTAATATTAGTTGTTTGCTTAGATTTTAACTTAGTTGAATTGCCTCTTCGGGCAGGTTGTTTTGGCAGCCCCCAATTGGTACGATTGTATGCGCTATTGCTTAGTTTTTGTATTTCAGTGTGATTCCCCACTTTTGCACGACGTTTCTTAATTCTGGGTCGTCTTTTTATCGCTGTCTTCGTTGGTTTATTTATCGTTTGGACGTTGTTTCTCTCTTTAGTCGGGGTCAAAGCAGCCTGACTAATGAGTTGTTGATCTGTCATTGCCATAATTCGCGGTTCATTTACATAGGCGCGTATATTTGTAACGGAACGTTTGTGTAAACGATGCTCCTGCGATGTGACGCTCTTGCTAAATATACCATTTGAAAAGTTCGGCTTTTCCAGCTGTGTGGCGACAAGTTGTTTCTCAGTGCTTGTTTGGGGTTTCGATGTTGATGCGCGCACGCCTTTGATGATTAGCGGCAGCTCACTCTGTTTGAGACCCGGTAAATGTGTATTAGGCTTACGCCCTGGTCTATTCGGTTTCTTCTTATTCTTGCGCTTGAGCTTAGTCTTATGTTTCCGTGTTGGTAACTGCATTTGATCACTGATCGTCAACTCTGTTTGCACCATAACCGGTGGTGGTTTGTGTAGGTGTGTAGGCAACTTGGAGGTAGGGATTTTGGATATAGGCGTGCTTAAAGGTCTTTGCAGGCGTATAATTTGTGGGTGCATACTGCTATTCGAACCTGCTGAGGTCGCCGAGATGATGGTTGTGGCCACGCTCGGATTGAACGAAATTTTGTCTGCAGCAGCAGGGGCTTTACAATTACTTTCGTAATATTTGCGTTGTAGATACAAGTCGCGTTCGTATTGTTCCTTCGAGATATAAATCGGTATGCTGTTGTTGGAGGTCGGTAATGTGCTTATGGCATCCGGCATGTGTCCTACCTCTGTAATCGCATATATGATGCCGGTGGTGGGATTGGTAAAATATAATGGAAACTGTTTGGTGTTGTGGTTCCTTGTGATATTTGCGAAGCTTTGATTCGTGTTATGTTGCGTCGGTTTCAGCGTTTCACTGGACGATGCAATTTCGCTGACACTACCCAAAATATGCTTGATTGGCGGCATTTTGAGATTATGCACAGGCAATTGTGGTTGCGTTGTGGAAGAAATATGCGCATTGTGTTGAGTTGCGCTTGTGGACGTCGACACACTTGGCAAATCAAACGTATTTATTTCATTTGAACCCGATTGACCATCGAACATATTGAAATCAAAAGTCGAGCCTACAGTCTGGCCGTTCAGCACATGCGCTGCCGTCACGACGCTTGGTGATTCATGCCAATGCTTTAGTGGTCGCCCGACACGCTGCATATGTCCTGACCACGAAGCGTCATATTTCGTCGCAACATTTAAACGTTCTTCATTGCGTTTATACTTTGGCACGAAGCTGCCGATTACATCGCGGTAAGGCGGCTTCGCGGTCCACGCGCGTCGGTGTTCGTTGGCGAGCATATCACGCGTCCAAGTGCGTTTCGTTTCGCGCACAAAATTATCGAATTCCTCGGCGCTCGGATGATAGCCGAAATCGTAAGCGCGTAAACCGGATATGCTGGCAAGGAGCAGTTTGAGCATGAGTAACTTTGTAACCACGAAAAAGCACAACATTTTTTCACAGTTTTTTTGTTTTCTCTCACTAGCTTTTGCTGAAATTCCAAATGATAATAATTTTTAATTATTTATTTTTTCACTGCTTTCACTGCTACTTTCTTGCATGCAGCAAGGATAATCACTTTTGGCACCAGCTCTTGCGCCACATCGTTTCACAAGCCAATTTTTGCGTTGAAAGAAAATTTTATGCACTTAAGCTCTTTTAATTTGTTCAAAAAAAAATTGCTAACTTTTCAACTGGACCACCTTTCGCTTCACCGTTTCACATGCGAATAACGCAAGCGCGCAGCGCTAAAGTGAAATTCAGCCGCAGCCACAGTTACTTGCCATCACACGCACACATAGTGCCATATATGCACTCAGTATATGTATATATGTATGCAGAAAAAACAGCACACTCACTTCCATGTGTGTTTAAATGCGTTTTTAACCGGGTGAACTGCGGAGGGTTCATTTCCCGCAACACACACACACACACACAGGCATAGGTATGTATGCTCCAACTACTTCACCCAGAAGTATAATGACAGTTGCCGATGGCACACGCCAATTTGAATTTTCTAACGTCTCACTGTGTCACTTGGAACATGAAAGCACTAGCGACATTCTGCCACCGTCGCCATTGTCGTCGCTGTCGATATGAATCGAACCATTACAAATTGTTGATCTAATCATAGTGGTGGAGTCACAAATACTTTTCGCCGTTTTCGAAGTTCTATTTACCGTTGCGTGTACACAACTTGAAAGTGATATTTTCTTATACCGAATGCAAAGGTCTTTTCACTTTGTTCGTTTTTTATACGAATTCCGTATGTAATTTTCCAGGTTTTTATATTCTGAACAGTGTATATTAAGTTTATAACCCCCCGAAGGAAACGTCGGATATCCTTTAATGTATATAAATGAACTGCGTGACAAGCTAATCAGATTTAGCCATGTCGGTCTGAATATACGCGTACTAGGTCCCCAAGTTTTAAGTTATTAACTCGGTCATTTGTCGGAACCGCCAATATCGGACCACTATTGGATATAGCTGCTATACTAACCGATAGATGAAAGTCAAGTCCTTATATGGAAATACATATAGAAATTTTATTTGACAAGCTATCTTCGCGAAGTTTTGCATAAATTATTCTCTTAGGCAACACTACAATCTGAAAATTGTTTAGATCGGCCCACTATATTATATAGTTGACATTAAAACTGACTGATCAAAGCCAAGATAAAGAACATCATAATAGATCTTGTTTCTCGATTAAGTAACCTTAACACGACACGAAGGCTGTTTATATCAACCAACGTGCCTAGAAGAAACTAGCAAAATGGTTTCCGTTGGATGTAAACCATTGGCCGCTTACGTTTTCAGATTTAGTTGTCTATATTGTTATAATATTATATTGAGACCACACTGCTTATGAAAATCCATTGTGAAGCCACAGGAACTCCTATAGCTGGACATTGAGTTACAACATATCTGCTCAGGCGTTTTATTTCTTTAGTCCTTTGGGAGTTCCCTACCCGTATCAATTGAAAAATAGTTATTTTTTAAGTGTAGCAAAAATTAATAATAATCACTGCTCCTCTTAAAGTAATTAATTATTTTCTGAAGAGAATACAGAAAGAAGACGAGAGTATCACAAAGTTTTACCAACCAAACTATCAGCAGATGTGACATTTGGTCTAAAATGAACGAAAGGATAAAGGTATTGTATATCTAGACTTTGAGAAATAAGAGATTAAATTGAATTTTCTCAAGTGAAAAAAATATATGTTTAAGAGCTTAAGATCTTTTGACCACCACTAGCATAAATAACTGTAGACTCTGCTAGATGTGATTACTTATGAGTTTAGGAAATGGGTCTGTTTAAAAAAATCACTATGTGTTTGATATTTACTATCCCACGAAAATACTTGTACCTCAACAAAAAACCCCCTTAATCTAAAAACTCCAAAGGACGAAGATCTCACTATATTAACATATAAAACAACAACGAATCTATAATGCCCTTCACAAATACAAAAGGTTCCTTAAAAGAATTTGATTCCGAGCGAGTCAGCTATGTGCTATAGTGATCTGATCTGAATAAGTTCTTCGGAGATTACATTGTTGTTTTAAATAATAATCCATGTCGAATTTCGTGAAGATACCTCGTCAAATGAAAGAGTTTTCCATACAAGCACTTGATTCCAATTGTTCAGTTTGTAAGGCAGCTATATGTGGTCCGATATCAGCCGTTCCGACGACTGAGCAGCTTCTTAGTGAGGAATCGGGATTTACTAACCTAAAAGTCCAACAACTGATCGACAGTAAATTTGAGGTTTCTAAATAAGATTGACATTTTCAAATCTTAGCATTTTTTCGGATTTTCATACAAATCCAAAAGCTGATCGACTGTAGCTTGGAGGATCGAAAGTAGGATTGGATGGGTAACTCGGTACAGCATATGCTTATATTAAAGCGTGTGTTTATTGGAAACTTTGGATTTATTTTTGAAACTTTAATTATTCGTTAAAAAATCAGAAATATATATTTTTTCTACTTAAACTTCAAATAAAAATGGTTAAAAACAATAATTTCGATTAAATGCGGTGGTTATAGAAAGCTATGTTACTTTTCATTTTTAACATAAATTGAATTTTATAAACACATATCACAATAGGAGCAATCTGTGGTCATTCTTAACTTGTGCGAAAAAATTTTCGTATTCAATTATTAGTTATTCACATTTCGATTTCCACCAAATGTATGAACCATTGTTGCATTGTTGCAATAAAATTAATAAACTTGGTGCACTCTCATACGTTTTGCGGTTTGGTGGGCGGATTTCACGAGCTTTCAATTAACCGTTAACCATTTCAAGCGTCACAACCGATTAATTTCTCCCTGAGTAGAAGTGTGTAATTTACGTTTTTGTATAAATGATTAGCGTTGCAACAATGAGCATATGCATTTAATTTTGCCATCGAGATCGTAACGCACGCGCAGACCTCTAACGCGCAACTGGCCGCTTGCAAACTTCTCTATGTTGCGCGAACGCAGTAAGACGCCTCTTCGTTTGTAGTGGTAGCTTAAGCTTATAACGGTGATAGTTGTTAACAGTTGCGCCTGGAATTTAATGACAATGATAATGCCTTTTGTTACGGCTGTAATGGTGGCAATTTACGGATTATTGCAAGATTGTACGTATGTGAATGCCAAACGATGCAAATGTATTTTATACAGAAGTGTTTGGTGTAGCATTTGGTGTTACAGTAGCCTAAGGAACTGGTAAGGTGTCTCAACGAAGAGCTGATTCCATGTGTGAAAATAATTTTGGCGAAGAGTTTGAGAAAGCATTACAAAAATGCCAGCTTAAAGGGTTAGACCCGAATGGAATCTAACTTTTAGAATTAATTATGTGAAAAAAATATTCCAATTAAATTTTTTCCAAGAAAAAGTTTCTCATAAATTCTATCAGCCATTAGAAGGCTGTTTAAAATTTGTAGGTCTCTTTTGTGTGTGATAATACTGGGTACAATCAATACTCATACTCACGAGTTCATACCAATAACATATCCGCAAACTTACAGGACAGCTGTCACGTAGCGGTTAGCTATACTCTCGGCATAATTTGTTAAATAAGACAGTTTTCCAAGGCAGATGTCTATTTACATATGTATAAATCAACCTTCTCCCAGATGCAACCGTGAAATAGTCATGATAGTCAAATTCGCCAGCCACCGGCGATTATTTCATCTAATTGATCTGGACCGAATCGATAAAAAAATGTTCGAAGATTTATTCAACCTTTTTTATGTTCATGTGAAGTTTGATCTCTATATGTCAATGCTTGTCAACAAAAAATTTTGTCTGGTGATTTTTACCATGAAAAAAATTTCACAACTAGTTTGCTTTAAATTTTGTGTTCGCAATGGAATCACGGCTATAAAATTGTTAAAAATGATGTTGTTGATTTTGTTGTGTGGCACAAAGCATTCAGTGAAGGTCGTGAAATCATCGAAAACTTGCCTCATGTCGTCCATCCACCTCTGTTAAGGACGATGACATCGAAAAGTTAAAGAAGCACTGCTGCATCATTGTGCTACTCTCAGAGAGATAGCAGGGGATCTCAGAATCTCTAATGCATCGACTCAACACATTTTGGTTAATGTTTTGGGTATGAAGCGTGTTTATGCTAGACTTGTACCAACTAAACTAAGGTCGCAAACTAGATGCTTTACAACGTAGCTGAAGACACTACATTCATTAAACGCCTCCTTGCTGTTGACGAGAGGTGGATTTATGAATATGACGTCGAAATTGTCCAAAAATCTAACGAATGGCGCTCCAAAATGAGCCGAAACCGACACAACCTAAATTCGCTGAAGGTACTGTAGGCCATCCCAGCCGAGGTTTATAATAAGTGTATGGAAATTTGAATTTGGTGTTGGCATGCTTGTATTGTCTCAAAAGGAGCATATTTTGAAGGTATGTATTGGTTTTTTTTTTTATCAATTCAATAAACACAGCTGATAATTTTTAGCAATTACTGAGTGCAAGAGAAAGAACGCAAATAATATACTTTTTTACTTTTAAAAACATTTACATTCTTAGACGGAATCATTTTCAAATATTATTATAGACATATGTATGTATATACATAAGTAATTTCTGTTGGTCGTGAGTCTATCGAAGTGGAGAGACAACAATCAAATCTGTAGGTTACTGGAAACCGTGAACATTTTTCTACAAAATAAAATATAAAAAGTTTTTTTTTTTCGATCTATTATTTAATGGCGTGATTTAACAATGGTTAATAAAAGTACTAATATAATTTATAAGTTGCTTTGAGCATTTAAAGTATTCGTTTTCAAAAATTATAACTTGAACACGTGCACCGATGAGGTCTTTCCACATTTTCCTACAGGGCACAGAGAAGACAGGATTGCACTTTGGACATTATCTTGCAAATTACTCTTTTGCATGCAACATAACCAGATCCATATGTACATTCGTACATTTATGTTATTATATTTGTGAATTATAAGCAAATGAAAGCAATTCATCTCATGCCAACAATTACGACTGCCATTCTTGTAAATATATACAAAATATGTATTTTTAATACATTTTTTAAAATAGTCTGTTTTACATAGTTTGGTTGCGTTTGCATTGACGAGAATGATGCCAAGCCATCTGCAGACAAATAAATATATAATAAAACTTAAAGCAACTCAGGTTTAAAATGATGAACTAGTCATACATATGTATAAGTGTACATGCACATACAGGATGGTGATATCTCTGCGATTTTGACTGACATGCGTGAGAATTTTAACCTACATTTGTGGAAGCTGCTCTTGCCAGTTGTGCAGCTAGGGGTTTATTATATCCAAATAAATAATAGAAAAGTGCAATTAAGCTGCAATTTAGTTGTAAAAATTTTATAAGCTTAAAAAATCAAAAGGTGTGGCAAACAAATGTGTTTACATCCTTACCACTGTATATGCTTGAAGTTGGCTACTAATTTTACTTTTTTGGTCTATGTCTTCAAAGGTATTAGAACAAAAATGTCACATTACTCTTATACAAAAATTATCGTTTATGTTTTGTAGGCAATTTGAAAGTAAGACTTATCACTTTTTCAGCATCTGCATTTTAGACCATGTCCTGTTTTAGTTTATTAGTTATGTAACAAAATATCGCCGTAAATCTGAGTTGTTTTCGACTTGTCAAACCTTGAAGTGTGCTTTATCGAAGAAATGATTGATATTAGTGCAATACTCTGGCAAAATTAGATACAGACTATTTTCGAATCACCGAAAATTTCAGATTATCGAATCGAACAAACAATTGGTATAATATCAAAGACTAATAAAGATATACCTTAATGAGATAATCAGATGGAGTTTTATTTTTTTTTTAAACAGGAAATATTTTTATTATATTATGACTAAACTTTGGACTAGTTTACTAACAGAGTATTTTTAAAGGCATATATACCAATTTTGTCCCACTGTCACTTCTAGCTTATATTATATGTGCAATTAGAAAATTAACATCTTAGCCAATAATATACTCAAACATTCCACTCAACGCGTAATAAAATCTCAACCGTGGTTATTGCATCGCCGTTGGGGATTTAAGACAACCACCGATTTTAATGCACCAAAGGAGTTAACCTAACAATGTTATTTCTATGTCACTATAAAATAAAATAAAAATATTAGAACAAGTTGATGCAAAAAGTGTGTCTGTAACAGCGTGTTTTTCGCGTTTGTTGATTATTGTAATTTATGAACCGGTTGAATAGGACTTTGACGTGGCAACACAGTTACAATACATAAATACAGGCATATGAATATGTGTATAAATAGTCGAGTATCGCATGCATTTACGCGTGGAGCTACAGAAACTATGAATGAAACTGAAAGTTTTAAGCCGGCCTTTCTAGCTGTCAAGTGGTTTTGCGTGTGTAACAATTTGTTTACGTTTAAAATACGACGTCTAGCAAGAGCCTAGTGTATATAAAATTTGTGTGTACAATTATATGAAGATGCTATGGCTATTTACTTAGTATACATACATATGTGTACATGTGTAGCTTTTTATATATAATTGTTGTAATGTTGTAAAAGTTTGAATCACTTCTGGAGAACTGCACACCTTTTCATATTAAATACCTGAGGTGGTCATGCCATGAATTATGGAGAAAAAGTCTACTTAAAATTGCAATATCGTATGTAATTACAATTGGTTAGGATAATTTGTGGGGTTAGGCATGTCATTATCACCTTATGAGTAGCCTAAAGCGTTTGACGAAGCTTTTTTAGCATTAAATAGTAAATATAAGCACATACTTTGCCATAAAATAACTTATATGAAATATCACTTATATATGTTGCTTATGGTGATCCATTTTCGATCATACAAGTATACGTAAAAAGTAACTAAGCGTTTCTGAAATTTTGGCATATTTTTAAAAAAATTTACAGCTAAACATTGCTTATCTAATAAATGCCAATACGAACTGAGACAAATGTTAAATACCTTTAAATTTGCTCATAAATACCAAATCTTAAACTCTAGTTTGTGACACCGCGCTAATCAGGAAGATGTGAAGCAAGTATTAAAGTTATGGTATAAGGTAGTTTCATTTATAATGTAGTACTCCATCAGTGCTGCCTGATCTATAGCGCTGTAAATCAAGGGGGGGGGTAAGGTGTTCAAAAATCCAGAAAAATCCGACATCAAATGTTTTTTATATAAAACGATGACACGGCTCTATTTACTATATGCACAATATGCCTTAATATGTATTTGTTGATTTAAAAACAAAATATTGAATGGAAAATGTAAATGAATTAAATTAATAATTAAAGTTTCTAGAACGTATATACTTCTTTATTATTTTACCATTGGAAATATAAATAAAACTTCTAGAGCATACCAACCTGTACCGGTATGAAGTGCGCATTGAGATATAAATGTGTTGGTAGGGAAAATTTGTTGTAAACGAGCTTTAATTTTTTTTCTGTTTGGTTGGCATGACATCTGTAAACATATTCAATAGTTTTGTAGTCATTGAGTAAACAACATCATATATTTTCATTGTGTGGAAAATTTCAAATTTTGTACCGGAAAGTGATGATTTGCGGAAAGCAATAATTTGTTGTTTTCATTTGAAGAAAAGTGCTGCAGAGTCGCATGGTGATCACCACTCTACCGGAAGCAACATACAAAAGATGGTTTCAGACGGTTCAGATATAATGATTTTGATGTGAGAAATGAAGAACGTGGAAGTTCCTCAAAACAGTTTGAAGTAGTCGAACTGCAAGCAATATTAGATGAAAGTAATACTTTGAGTTTAAAGTCAATGGCAGCCATGTTAAATGTTGCACAACAAACATCTATTTATGTACAATATGCCTTTATATTTGTTGATTCAAAAACTAAACTATTTACTGGAAAATGTAAATTAATAATTAAGTCTTCTAGAATGTATATACTTCTTTATTATTTAACATTGGTATTATAAAAAAATTTAAGCCTTATTACATTCTTTAAAACAATTATAAAAATTATTACTATAAATGATCGTACACCGGTTTACAATTATTTGTAGATGTCTTTGTTCGTGGCTTGGTGGAACTTTGCATAGTTCACTTCAAAAACTGCACAATATAAAGTCGTGAAGAAAGAATGTAATAGAGTTTAGAATTCTAAATGTTAACTATTTCATGGAAGGTGATCTAATGAAGTGTGAGTCGAATTTCATTAAATACGTAATAAAAATTAAAAATTATTAAATATTGTTCATCAAAAAATATCTTATTTGTTATCATTATTTCTACACGTAATATGCATATAGATATATATATATTTATAAATACTTATATAGCTATTATATATGCATATGTGTACGTGATAATGAGCCACTTGGTGTTAACAAGTGTTGTGTTGGTTGCACTTATGCAGTACTTGATTATTTTATTGACAAATAATTACAAAACATATTGTTCTATCCACGTGTGTTTTATTTCCACTTTTAATGTGAAGATGTTTTAATTAAAATAATCAGTATAAATTACAGAGTAAATGATAAACACACACACACACATTGTATGTAAGTGCTTGTGCTGCGTTAAGATGATTTTAATTGTTACGAATTCAAACGAAACAATATACCAAATACTCGAGACTGTTTGAAGTTGTCTGAAAATGAGAAAAATAGTGAATAGATATAGACAATTTACGCATCAATTCTAAACGCAATTTTTAAAGGACATATAAATAGATTAGTTTTAATAATACTAAAATATAGCAGTATATTTTTTATGTATGCATGTGCATACGAGGTGTGTTCAAAGGAAAAGGTGAATTTTGGTTTTTCGCCGGCTGTGTACATTCGATTATCGATATTTTGTTTTTGTTATAGTCGGACACATATTGTTATCATGTGCTTGCATTAGGAGCCAATTTCGATTAGTAGTTTGTTTTTGACAACTGATAAGGTTAGTCACGTTTTCGTGTGCTCTTCGATTTTTGACTTTTAAAAGAAATGGATCAAAGAATATGTATTAAACTTTGCGTTAAAAATGGAATAAAGTGCTTCAAAGCACTTGAAATGTTGACTGTGGCATTCGGTGAGTCCACTTTGTCTCGAAAAAGTGTTTATAAGTGATACCAGCCCTTTACAGAAGTCCGAGAAGATTTTATTGACAGTGAGCATCTTGGAGGTGCGACCACGTCAACATGCGAGGAAAACATCGAAACAGCGAAAAAAATTGTTTTTGAAAATCGTCGAATCACTATTAGCAAAGTTGCAGAGGATGTTGGCATAGCAATCGGCTCATGCCATTTAATTTTCTCGAATGTTTTGGGCATGAAACGTGTGGCAGCGAAGTTTTTTCCGAAATTGTTAAATTTTTAATCATGTCTCAACCACCGTATTCACCAAATTTGACTCCCTGCAACTTTTTCCTATTCCCAAAACTGAAGAAACCGATGAAAGGAAAGCGTTTTGCCAGAATTGATGATATCAAGTCAGAAACATGTCGGACTGATGGCCATGCTGTAAAGCGCATTTCAGAAGTGCTTCGAGGATTGATAAAAGCGTTGGCACTAGTGTGTTATATCCGAGGGGAATTACTTTGAAGGGCAAAAAATAGATATTTATCAATAAGTAAGTACTTTTCAAAAAAATTAAAATTCACCTTTTCCTTTGAACACACCTCGTATGTACATACGCCTGTATATAAGTATGTATTTGTGTGAATATATAAAATGTCATTATCTTACCGCAATTCGAAAGCGAAAATTTTGGTATAGAGTTTTTGGGAAAAACATATTTTTTTTATTAGTAATGACAACGCACAATTAAGAAAGTAGAAAACAACGTATTATTTCTATAGTTAGCTTAGCTTCTATTGAAATTCAGTTGCGCATGACAAATTAATTGCTGAAGATTCCAAAAACTCTAATTGTTATGCACATACCATGCATACTTGTATGTATATATGTCAATTTTTGTGTACTAGATATATACGTACATACGCACGAGTATATTGTTTTAAGGAAAAGTGACACACTTACATATTTATCATTGTAGATATGTATGTTTACATAAAGATTATTATATGCAAAAGTAGTTGATACATTGACAGTTATCTTTTTCAACAATCGGCATAAATATATGCATACATACACACATACATACATATGCGAAAGTATAATTTTAAAAATATATATACATATATATATATAATGTATATTTTTCTGTTTTTGTTAGACAATGAAAGTTTTCAGAATCGTTCAAGCTAAGCAAATATAAGTTACAATATTAAAAAAATGTATCTACTTTTTTACTAAATGATTAAGAGTAACCCAAACAGAAACCGTTCGTTTGCCTTGTTTTTGAAATAATCATGTCAATATGGAGAGACCTAGGCAATTTAAGAAATAACTACTCACGAAGACAACCTATAGCGGGTCACCTCCACATGGCGGTCTGTGGGTCAATTTACTTGTTTTGCTAATATAAAAAAAGTGGAACCACCAGCATTCGAGACACAATACTCCAATTAATGAGAAATGTGCACAGCCATTCTAAAAAGTACGCACATCTATATACTTATATTATAGACTCCAAAACCAAGTTTTTATGAAAATTTTAAGAGCACACCGGAGAGCGTTTTTGTGAAGTTTAACTTCGTCAGATGGTATCAAACTCGAATTTTTTTCAAACATTGTAGTTTGGTCAGATATTGTTCTATGTTGAGTTTGAAGTGATTAAATATATAGTTTTGGGGGTAAACTTAATGAAAATCCCGCTTTGATAAAGAAATGGCTATTATAATCATTTATGAGTCAAGTCCCAACCGAAGAATTTTTTCAAAAACTTTCAAACATACAATATACAACTGATCTTCCAGTAAGAGTAAATACGGTTGAAGAGAGCGGTTTTAAGTCCACTTTTAAGATATTACCATATTACTCGATATTACTGTTTTTATGTACGGTAACTACTGTAGATTTCACAGTAATTTTAGAACTAATTGAAAACGATCTGCTCGCCGACTAGATTAAAGTTTCAGTAATCTATGAACCGGTTGAATGCGACTTTGACATGCAATTACAGTTAAAATACATAAATACAGGCATATGGATATGTGTATGAATAGTCGAGTATCTCATGCATTTGCGCGCAGCAAAGTATTAGATGGATATTCGCTAGGATAAAATGTTAAATTTTTATGGCGAAAATAAATTTTCATAAATGGAAAGAATGAAAGCTTCGTTGTACCGAAGATATAATACCATTTAATTTTTGTTTTTGATCTGAACAATATGTTCTGTAGCGTTGTCTTGGACAATAATATATGGCAAATTTTATTAATATATGTATCTTGTTAATTAAAAAAATTTTCCAACTTCCACACAAATACTTGATTTTGATCGGTCAGTTTCTATGGCAACTAGTATATGCTATAGTGGTTCGATATTGGCGATTCCGACAAACGAGCAGCTTCTTGGGTAGAAAAGGACAAATTTTCAGATCGATATACCAAAAACTGAGTAACTAGTGCGCGTATGTACAAACAGGCAAACGGACATGGCTAAATCGACTCAGCTCGTTACGCTGGTCATTCACATATACATATGTATGTATATATTTCATATTGTCTCCGATATTTCCTTTTGAGTATTACAAATATTGTGGCAAACTTATTTTTTTCTGTTCAGGGCATAACAATGAGTTGGAAGGTCAATAATGGAAAGAAAAGTTTATTATTTGCTTTCATAATTCAGTCTAAATACATAAATTTGCATGTGCAGTTATAGTAGTTTGTTTATTGTTAAGAAAATGCAAAACTGACGTACAATTATTCAGACAAATGTTCACACTTAGAACTACTTGTACTACTATCGTAGTATAGACGAGTACCGGTAAGATGAATTGATTAATAAACTATTGTCAAAGAAAATATTTGAACAATGCATTGCCACACAATTGCAGAGCCGAGTGAAGACCGAGTAGGAAATTATTGCTTTTGAAGTAGATACAATAAAAGAATTGTTCTCAATTAGAGCAGTAATAGCAGTGTTTCAATTTGTAGACCCAAGTGAAGACCCAGTAGGAAATTATTGCTTTTGAAGTAGATACAATAAAAAAATTGTTCTCAATTAGAGCAGTGCTTAATTTGCAAAACTTGGATAGTGGCGGAGAACAAAATAGAAGGTGAAAATGTTTTGAAATTAAGGAAATGTTCCCGAGTAAGTTTCAACTGCACTCGATTCGCTAGAGTTTGAAGTTTGGCGAATAGAACAAACAACTGGTATAAATAAATAGTAAATAGTTAAACTTAAATATTTTTGACAGAGCTCAAACAATGTGAGAGACGGGGATATGGTTCTTTCACACTTAATAATAATTTTCAATAAAGATTTATAAATCATTTCAATTTATAAACGCTCTGAAATAAATCAATTAATATATGGTTACGCAAAAAACGAAAATTTCTAAGAAAAATAAAATAAAATAATGTTAGTAAAATAGCGGCAATAAACCGGTGAGTGAACTACCAACCAAACAAACCAATCAGTTCAACCAACAACGATTTGTGTTCGTTGCTGGTTAACTCTACCGGCTTTTGTGGTGCTCACAGCTCAGCTGATTAACTGCTGCAGCGACAGAAGCAACGTGAGCGGCATAGCTAACGCTGACATTTGCGATTGTGGCTTGATCATGGCACCAGAGAATGACAGTGGCACTGGCAGTGCATGCTAACTCACTGCAGCTCACGGCTAGCAGCTAGAAAGTGGCCTTAGCGCGCCGAACGGCTTCACTGCGACTGCGAAGTCAACAACGCCGTCAACGTCCGCGTCACTTTACCGTTTGTAAGTGCGCCGTTTTACGCTCTACGTGTAGAATTGCTGAGGGAACCAACCGGCAATTGCTGGCAGCAAAAGTAAATGTATCTTTTAGTCTTCAAGATATCGTAGCGCGATAAAGATGCATAAAAACCATATCGGATTGACTTACAGAAACAATTAAAATATAATCATAATAAAAGCGTGGAGATACGACAACGGCAATTGTTTTCTGATAGCAATTAAATTGTAAAAATTATAACACATGTTTTTATTTAGCTAAATGAAAAACGTATTTCATAATAAGTGCAGGTGTTATTAATTACAAATACAAACAATAAAACAAATTACTCTGAGTATTATTTTGCGTTTTTTGTTTGAAGAAATTTTTTATTGCCAGCTTAAAAAAAATAGTTGTGTGAATAATAATTGAAGGGAACGTAAAATAAAATAAATGCGAAACAGCAAGCAAAACAAAATTGAAAAAATAAACAAGTGTCAGTTAAAATATTATGCATCGCAAATAAATAACAAACATAAAAAAATACAGAAAACTGGTTTGTGAAAATAAAATAAGTTTGTTTAGCAACCAAAGGGAAATAAAACAACGTGAATATCAGGAAAATGATGGTCGAAAGTGAGGTGTGTGTGGGTTTACATAATGGCATAAGTAGATTTATTTTTTTTTAATAAAACTTTTATTGGTTTTTTATGTGAATTTAACGGTAGCAATGCTTTAAAATTGCTTAAGTCGACTTACGTATGTAAGTTAAGTTGCATATTTTGATTTCTAGTAAACATTTTTCTGGTCTTTTTTTATTACAATTTGTACGTTGGAGATT